CTTTCCCTTCCCTTCCCCCTTCCCATCTTAGTCAGGAGGAAGGGGGAGGAGACCTCAGCCAATGAAGGGAAGGAGTCTTGGCTTTGTCTCTCTCCCTGCAGGATTGAGGGAGATGGGCGAAAGTAAGAAGTGATGTGGCAGCAGCAGGAAGGAAGCAGGATACAGCCAGTTACTCCCAGGCTGGATCCGAGCCCTCGAAGGGCCAGTGCCAGCCCATGGGCCATATGTTTGACACCCTTGGAATAGATCATATGTAGTACAGCTTTGCTCATGCAGTATCAAAGGTAATTTTCTTGCTTTCCCCCTTCCTGCTGCAGTGCATTTGTCCCCCCCCCCCCTTCTACAAACAGAAGTATTCAATGGAAAAGGAGGTTAGGAGTTGAGCCCTAAGAGTTCTAGAACTGTGTCCTTTCATAATTTGCCTGTTGAGACTCTTGAGGTATCGAGCTGATTTTAAGAGCTATTGCTAAACTGAGTTTCTACCAGGCAGAGATTTTTTCAGAACCGCTGGACAAAATTGTGCTCATGTTTATCTTGTCTTTCCTCAGGGAAGCATAGAGAGAGATTCCTTCTCCAGCTATCCACAGTAATGCTCTGAAGGTTTAGGCAAAGATTGGGACTAGTCTAAGACCACCTATTCAATGGAGTAAGTATTTAAACCAGATCATCTGGTCAAAGTCCAGTACTCTAGCTCCCACATCACACTGGCTGTTATTCTACAATTAATCCCCCCCAACAGTCATACAAACTTGTTCCTTATCCTCCATGTTTCCATATTAGGAAACAGTGTTCAGATTTGGAGAATCCAAGCACCAGTAAGAAAAGGAACAGCAGGTAATTCAGACTCAGTGATTGCAGCTGCTCATAGCACAGGAGACAGCTCACCTGTCATACCATCGTCGTCACCCTCCTCTTCATCTTCACTCTCAAATTTTGTCTTCTTCCCGAGAAATTTCACTTTTTTGTCCTGTGCGCCTCGAGCTCCTTTGCCGCCTTTTCCTTTCCGACCTGGCAGGATAGGTACACATTAGGAAATTCATGTTTCAGCCCATGCCTTACCACAGCCTCCCTTAAATTGGGGGGCACCCTCTGGCTACCTGCATGGGCACATGAGCCATGACAGATCAAACACCACAGACAGAACATCCATGTCCTAGCACAAAAGACTTCCTCCACTTGCACATTCAGCTGCAAGTAGCCAAAGGGATGAAAAACTAAAGCACAGGCATGTGTGTGAACCAGCCTGAAGTTCCCAGCCACCATCTCTGCCACTAGAACACCCCTTTCTCATCTTCACAGCCTCAGCACAATGTTAAACCTTGCTGGCATCCCACACTTCATAGGCTTTCCAGCACTGCCTCTTCCCTCCCTCCCTGGCCCTTCCATGTGAAAGCTACTGCTTCTGACCTGAACTAGAAGTATATGGATTGTGATCCCTCTAGATTTCCTTCTATGGCCCACTGAACACACAGCTAAGATGCTGCCTCCTAGCAGCGGTATTCAGAGGAAACTGAGGTTCCCTGTAGTCATCATGGCTCATAGCCATTGATGGATCTCCATGATGGTCTAACCTCCCTTTAAAGAGATCTGTGGCCTAATGATTATTATACCCAACGGCAGCAAATCCCCACTGTTTGATTACTTGTTGAGTAAAGAAGTGTTTCCTTTTGTCAGTTCTGAACCTACCGCCCATCAGGTTCATTGTGCCCACACCCCAATGCAAATGGGCACACCTCAACTGGGATTGCTACTGTGCCTGTTTCTTGCCCTTGACACCTTTCTGGCAGTATAAGATCTGGCTTCTAAGAGAGATGAGATGAGTAGGCAGAGGAAGAAGAAGAAGAAGCGATTGGATTTATACCCCGCCCTTCACTACCCAAAGGTGTCTCAGAGTGGCTTACAAACTCCTTTCCCTTCCCCTCCCCACAACAGACACCCTGTGAGGTAGGTGGGGCTAAGAGAACTCTTGACAGAAACTGCTTTTTCAAGAACAGCTGTGCCAGAGTTATGGCTTGCCCAAGGTCATCCAGCCAGGTGCAAGTGGAGGAGTGGGGAATCAAACCCGGTTCTCCCAGATTAGAGTCCATGCACTTAACCACTACACCAAACTGGCTCTGGAAGGGAAGTAGTCACCTCTTCCTTTCTTCTTGTTTAACAGTTCCTGCTGTCCCTCCATTATTTTCTTCAAGGCTTCTTTGGCCATGTCTCCTTCAAGCACCTCCCATGTGACATCTTTGGCTCGCAGTTGCAGATTCCCATTATTTGCTTCTTGGGCTTTGCTGAGGGCTTCTTTTGCACTACTCTTGAATAGGATGATTCCCTGCACAAACAGAGAGAAGTCTGAATCTGCTAGAAGATGCTCTAATTCACTTTCATCCCATTCAGTCTGTAACACTCAGTTTCTGCTATGGAGGGGGGGGGGGACACGCACACCCCCTTAATTTTCTTCCTCAGTTAATTGTGGCCCTCCTCAACATAGGTCCAGTTCAATTAACAGTCTTCCGCCTACCCAAGATCCTTATTTAATACAGCTGTTGTTCTGGGGGAATGCCAGATAACAGCCTGTGTAGTTTTAACCATCTCTTATCTGTTCTGTGGCTCAGTGGCAGGGCATCTGCTTGGCATTCAGAAGGCACCAGGTTTAAGCACCAGCATCAAAAGGACTGGGCAGAAGGGGACTGAAAAGACCTCCACCTGAGACTCGCCACCAGTCTGAGCAGACAATACTGACTTTGATGGACCAGTGGTCTGATTCAGTGTAAGGCAGCTTCATGTGTCCAAGAGAAGGGGCACTGCCTGAAGAAAATGGCATCTCATTCTCTTTCATTTAGTACTGGAAAAGGGAACGGACTACTGACTGTAATTAACTAGTACGGAAACAGCTAGCTATAATCCATAAAACACCATTTGTGCAGGGATTTTTGAGAGGCTTAACTGTCCAATGAAATTTACCTCAGGTTGGGTTCTAAACTCTGTAAGTTAGGAACAAGGCAGAATTCAGTGAACAGCTACACGTTCCTTGGTGACCTCCAGGCTACACTTCAGCAATCCCCCCTACGTAGGGTTACCTTTGAACAATTCTCAGACTACAACTGGTCCAAGAGGAGGCTACCCCATCGACAGGCCCAAGCCTCTGTGGCCATAGTACTTCCCAACTCTGTGGAAGGATGTTGGTGGAGCAGCTCTTTTCCTGCTGTCCCTTTCCCCAAGCAGCCTTCTGTGTGTCCCCATACACAGCTCTCTGAAAGGCAGAAAAGCCTTGCAAGCAAAATACAGCACAGCACAGACTGCTTGCAGCAGTGAGAAAAAACTGGGTAGAAAAAAAATCACTGCTGCCTGCTTTTCTGCTAGGTCCAACCCACTGCCACTTAATTTCTGGGTTTGATTTAAAGTTCTTGGTGGATGTACTGAGATGTTGGGACTCCCCTCCCCAAGCTCCATATGCAGCCCCTGATCTCTTCTCTTCAGCAGGCAAGGAAAGAGCATCTCCTTTCAACAAGCTTTTAGCTTGAGCAAAAGCTGACGGTGGGAAATTATGTCCTTGTTGGCCAACATTAGTTGTTACAGAGATGAAGCTTTAGTTTATGTGCTTCTGTTTATTGTTTTTGTTCAGCCAATCGCTCTAATGGGTTTTACAGTGATGGTGCAATCTTGTGTAGCATTACTCCTCTCTGAGCCCATAGCTTTCTGTGGGTTTAGTCTGGAATAACTCTGCGTAGGATTGCATTGGAGAGCGTCCAGCTGGCAAGAAAACTAGGAGGACATTTCTTTAGGTTCCATGTTTTGCAAAGTGACTTGCTAGGGGGAAAAAACAATCAGAATAATTTGTCTGTGGATTGTCAAGGTATCTGTTATGACCTCAGTAAATACCTCAACAAAGTTTAAGACAAAGCATACATATGTCTAAGCAAAAACACTGCCTAATTTGCTGAACACAACATCATTTTCAGATACTGCAAGTAGCCCGTCTCTGACCTCTTTTGCACCTCTGACAAAGTCTATCCATTTAATTTCACCGTGGTCTGAGAAAACTGCATGGAGATCTTCTCGGGAAGTCTGATCTTCGAGGTCTCCAGAGAATTTCAGCAAACATCCCTGCTTCTCCTCCAGGGATTTCTTTTTTATTTTATTTTTTTTTAAAGCAAGAGAAAGAAAGAAAATAACTCCTGTTAGACAGGGCAAGAAATTTATATTCTTGAAAATTATTGTGGTGAAATCCAGTTTCTCACTCTTTTGACAGTAAAAGAGAGTACACATAGCTAAGACTACCTGAAAAAAGTACAAAGTTAATGTAGGGGTCTGAATGTTGGATGAGAACTGTGAGCCCCAAGTTCAACACCCCCACCCCCATGAAGCTCATTGAATGTGAATAACTCTGCGTAGGATTGCATTGGAGAGCGTCCAGCTGGCAAGAAAACTAGGAGGACATTTCTTTAGGTTCCATGTTTTGCAAAGTGACTTGCTAGGGGGAAAAAACAATCAGAATAATTTGTCTGTGGATTGTCAAGGTATCTGTTATGACCTCAGTAAATACCTCAACAAAGTTTAAGACAAAGCATACATATGTCTAAGCAAAAACACTGCCTAATTTGCTGAACACAACATCATTTTCAGATACTGCAAGTAGCCCGTCTCTGACCTCTTTTGCACCTCTGACAAAGTCTATCCATTTAATTTCACCGTGGTCTGAGAAAACTGCATGGAGATCTTCTCGGGAAGTCTGATCTTCAAGGTCTCCAGAGAATTTCAGCAAACATCCCTGCTTCTCCTCCAGGGATTTCTTTTTTATTTTATTTTTTTTTAAAGCAAGAGAAAGAAAGAAAATAACTCCTGTTAGACAGGGCAAGAAATTTATATTCTTGAAAATTATTGTGGTGAAATCCAGTTTCTCACTCTTTTGACAGTAAAAGAGAGTACACATACCTAAGACTACCTGAAAAAAGTACAAAGTTAATGTAGGGGTCTGAATGTTGGATGAGAACTGTGAGCCCCAAGTTCAACACCCCCACCCCCATGAAGCTCATTGAATGTGTGGCTCCAGTTCAACCAGAGTTATTTTGAGTTAAAAGGGAGAGGAGACATGTAGGCCGCTGCTCTCCTTGGAGGATGGGGTGACATAAAATAGCTAGATAGTATAATAACTCTTTTATCAGATCACCAGTTCCTGGTTGCTAAATGCGAGCACTCAGTGCTATTAATTGCTGTCTTTCTGGAAATCTGCCTGGCCTACAAGGCTTATTCACAGTAGATATTTTATAGTTTTAGGACTAGATCATGTGCTTCTGACCAGCATGTGTCTTAAAATGGGTTCAGTTTTTTATAATGTGCTCTGTCAATACAGCTTGGGTCCAGTGTCACAGATGACGTCTCTTCATAAATACACAGTGGATCCAGGACAGAAGCCAGTAAAGTAATCTCGACTTCAGAATTCCATAATGAGCACATCAGTGTTCCTTTTAAACTTAAAAGCCTTCCCTGTATACAGTCAAATCCAGGACTAGCAGTTTCCCCAGTTACACAGGATGTTAAGTCGCTGTTACCATTTACCACCACACTATATGAGAACAGGACGACGATGTGCAGACCGTATTTTAAATTAAATGATGGGGGAGGGGGCTTGAACCTGATCTGGCACACTGTTACATTTACTTTTAGCCACTGGGCTACATTCACTCAAGGAATTCACATTTGGTCTATAAGACTTTTGCATGGTGACTTCCATCTTTCTTAGAACAGCCTTTTATGTAAAACAGACTAACAGCACCGAGAACAGAACCATATTCTATAGAACTCTTTCAAATACTAAACAGGTTCCTAATACGCAGCAGGTAAAAATTAGATGAATTAGATACCCAATGATTAATTTAGGTGTTTTGGGGGGGGGGGGCACAGGCAAGGACCTTAGTCAGTTTGGAAAGGACAGTATTGTCTGGAAACCCACCCAGCGCTGTAATTCCTGATCACAAAGAAACTCTTCCTCACAATTCTGCTTCACAGCACTCTACCTGCTTAGGAGCACGTTGATCTATCTATTCTAGGGATTCCTATTCCTAGCACAGATCTAAATGGCCTATTTAACACCAGTGGAGATATTCTGAGCATAAATATGCATGAATTTCTTCAAAGCACTAGCAATGGTAATGGGTCAACATTCCTAGTCCTGTTCCTTGCCAACCCGAAGTGCTACTCTCTGGGGAACCCTCAGGAACAGTATGAGGACTAAGTTGGAGGTCTGCAGTTAAGAGATGGGAATCATTGAAAATTGTCCACTTCCAGTGACGGGATTTTTCCACTGAATCCAACCCAAAATGTGCACTCCCAAGGGAAAAATTATGCAGTTTGAACATTCAAAGATTTCTGCATTTGTGCACTATGTAGACTTTTAATTGTCATGGAACACTCGCAAGAAAAACGCACAAGGTGTGTTGTAGTAGCACAGGCTACATAGATGAATTACAGTCGCACACTAGTATGCAATTCCAAGGTTTCCTCTTAGAGAAGCCCTGACCAAGGCCTGAACAAAACCCCAAAAATACTGCAGTAATGGCTCCAATTGATCAAGTCAAGGACTAGGAAGGTACCATTTCAGCATCTTCAGCTTGCTTCTGTTTTTCTTCCTTTTCCCTGTTCCAAAGAGATTGCAAAAGTCAGTCAAGCAGCATTCTGGCAGATTCACAACCAAACAGAGATACTCTTTCAACATCTAAAGCCATGACTTACTGTTTGGCCTTTGCTTTTGCTTCCAATCTGTTCCGTTTTTTCTCCTCATTCTTCTTTGCAAAATAATCATCCCTGCACAAAATACAATCTAATCAGAATCCGATTTGGGACCTGCTATTTATATATACAGTAACTATACTAGATAGCCTATTCTGGAGTAACCAAGTCACAACTAATCCTCAGCTTTATTTCTGCTAGACAAGGGTTACCAACTAGCATAGACAGGCAGTCTCTCTTATTAAAACTGGCCATCTAGATCAGAGGTGTCGAACTCATTTGCTATGAGGGCCAGATCTGACTTAAATGTCACTTTGTCGGGCCAGGCCAAGTGTACCATAATTTATTTATTTATTATTTTTATTTATACCCCGCCATCCCCGCAAGTGGGCTCATAAAACGTAATGCCAGGTACTAGAGATATAAACTGTATAAAGGACAGTAGCTGGTAAGCTCTGAGTTGTTGTACCCTCACTGCAAGGCCCCAAGGGCTGGAAGGGGGGTCCAAAGGAAAATCCATATGGGTAGACTGTAGAGCCAGCAATGCAGCACTGGGCAGATGCTCCCACAGTGCTTGACTGCTGAGGATGAGGTTATTCCGCCATGCTGAAGCTACAATCGGAATGACTCTGCCCACTCCCCCCAAGCATTCTCCTGTTCCCTCCCTTGTTCTAGTTGCTCGCGGGCTGCATAAGAGCCCTGGATAGGCCACTTCTGGCCCCTGGGCCTTATGTTTGACACCCCAAATCTAGATCTCTTAATGCATGACTATGCTCCACCTATTTCCCCCCTGCATGAACCCTTCCTTTCTCAGATAGCAATTACTCTAAAAGGCTGGCTGAGGGACCAAGTGGGAGAAGACAGAAAGCAAAAAGAATACTAAATTAATTTTATGGCACTCGTTATCATGGGGGCAAAAAGAAGAGTCTAATGGCATGGTTCCCACGACAGACATATGAGCAAGTCTATTACAGTTTGACAGAGAGCTCCCTTTGTCAGAGTTCAAGGAGCTTTCCTGGGGAAGGGAGCAGGAGACACAAAGATGAGGGCAAGATGGCATAGCCTGTTCAGTGAAAAGAGCAAATATAAGAGCAAATGTGAGAGCAAGATGGTACAGCCTGTGCAATGAAGTAGAAACTTCTGAATGGAGCCAAGGAAACAAAACTCACAATCCCCACTCAGTCACAAAGCTGACTGGACAGTCTTGGACCATTATCTACCTTTCAACCCGGGTTGTTCTAAAGAAATAAAACTATAAACAATTAACTGTATCCAAAAAAAAAAAGGACACCAGAGTGATCACACAGCTCAGAAATGCACAGCAAGTTTGAAGACTTTAAAAACTAGTAGAGTTTCTATACAGGCTACCTCCATCAGTCAGGAGTCTCAAGTCAACCCAAGTTCATACCAGAGCACTAAGCACACTGTTTAAAGTTGTACTTACTTGAAGAGCACAATTAGTTCTGTATCGCTGTACTTTTGGCCTGGAATCTCCACAAACTGCTTTGCAGATTCGACAGTATCAAAGACCGCAAATATTGAACCCTGATTGAATCAAGGAGTGTTAAGTCAGATCAGTGGAATATTCCCATGGAAAGTTCATAGTTAGCAGAATGCTATGTAAAATAAGTTACCTTAAAGGTTTTCTGAAGTGTCCTCCTCATCTGAATGCTTTCTACTTTGCCTTTATTATCTAGCCATTCCATGATATTATCAAGAGTTGCATCTAATGGAAAGCCTTTCTACAAAATGAGGTTTGGGAAAGTTAGAGTCGTCAAACACACATGCACCCCTTTCCCCCGCACACACAAAACCTTTCAAGAAGGCAACTGTCTAATTCAGGGATCTCGTTATTTTATACCTGGGCAGTCCTACTGCAGTCAACAACATAACTGGCCTGTAAACTACTTCAAAGAGCCAGTTTGGTGTAGTGGTTAAGTGTGCGGACTCTAATCTGGGAGAACCGGGTTTGATTCCCCACTCCTCCACTTGCGCCTGCTGATGTGACCTTGGGTCAGTCACAAGCTCTGGCACAGCTGTCCTTGAAAAAGAGCAGCACTAACTGAATGCATGTCCTAAAAGAGTCCCTAGAATCCTCTGCAAAACACAGGGTTCCTGAGCACAAAAAGGATCCCTGAAGATAGCAAGTCTGAAACACACTGAATACGAGATCATTTGCACTTACAATATAGACAGATCTGCTTTTAACTGAGTTTTTATATTGTTCAGTGACTTCTGGCAGAGGTTTGTTTGGAGATCTTCGAATTTTAGTGTTGTCTTCACTGACTTCCATAAGACCTGTCTTTGATTTTCTTAATGCGCCTACAATTGTATCAAAGTCTTTTGTCAGACGATTTAACCTATGAGAGGTTGCAAGATAGACAAAGTTTAGGTTGATGATGAGGTTTTTAAAACAAAACAAAAACCAGATTTTTTAAAATGTAGTTCTCTAAACGCAATATGAAAACACATCAAATGCAACACTTGCTCTCTTCAAACTGCATCTAGGGACCCTGTCAAACATTCAAGTTAGTCCTTTTCCCTCCGTGTGCAAAAATAAATCATGGGCACAAATGTCTTCTGAGATCAAGCATTATAAATACAACACAATGGGTCATGTGTTATATTTATTTTTGAGCAACTTTATTAATAGTCAGACACTGTTAGCAAGCAACATGGCTTTCCATCTCATGCAAACACGCTGTCTGGCCCACAATAACCAACCCTCACTTCTGCAAAGTTCAGCTTACTTCTCTTCAAGTTGCTTAATATTTTAAAATGTGAACAGAGCCCTCTATACAAAACCCAAAATTTTATAACTGATCATTTAGTAGATCTATATCTTGTAGTACAAGAGGGATTGTGGGGTTGGTGCATGGAACTATGTTGTGCGCTCCTGAGTAGAATAAAATGTCTGTTCACTTTAAACAGATACGTTTTAATTGTTACAGCACACAGCGACAAACCTGAGCATATGATTTAGATTTTTTAACTTAAAAATCATGAAAAGAGGACCAACTTAAGTTTGCAAAAATGTAAAGCAAACAAGATGGGTATACCATAAGGTAAAGGTAAAGGTTCCCTTGCTCGAAAGCCAGTCGAATCCGACTCTAGGGTTGCGGTGCTCATCTCCGTTTCAAAGCCGAAGAGCCAGCGCTGTCCGAAGACGTTTCCGTGGTCATGTGGCCGGCATGACTAAACACCAAGGTGCACGGAACGCTGTTACCTTCCCACCGAAGTGGTACCTATTTATCCACTTGCAATTTCTTGCTTTCGAACTGCTAGGTTGGCAGAAGCTGGAACTACAGACGGGAGCTCACTCCGTCATGCGGCACCCGGGTCTCGAACTGCTGAACTACCGACCTTCCACAGCCTGCAGTTCAGCGTCTTAACCACTTGAGCCACCGCAGCTCCTGTATACCATATAACTGTATACCATAGAACTGAACAAATTCATTCTTCCCTCTCATGAGATTACGATCTCACAATTCATGTAAAATTTACCTGTTAAATGTGATTATTGTTTCTAAAGGTATCCAGCCTTCATCTACCTTGATCTTCTCCTGTAGGAACTTGTCTCGTGGTAAGTTGTGATCGCCAAAATAGTACTGCAAAAATCAGTGGGAATAATACACATATTGGCACAAAGACTGCTGCTGCGCTTATCAAGTAGCTTGTTCCTTGTCAGGCAGCTAATAAAACATTATTGGATTTCTCTCAACAATTACACAGGAGAACCATCCAGCATTATAAATTCTGCACAGTGGGTTTCTCTTAGTTATAATGAAAACTGATTAAAAAACTGAGACTTGGCGTGTAGGTAGACTCCACGGAAGACTATGACATAATCTCAAGAGTTCATCTTGGAAGTCCATCCGAAAAAAACCCTAATCTAGTAGACAAAGTGACAGTTCTCCTTCCACTGTTGCTATTTTATTGCTACAAAAAATGTTCATGTGTATCTCCTGTGCGCATGTTGCATTTAAGTATTCAAAAGGTACCTGTACCAAATTTCTAAAGTCAGGGTTACATCTAAACCACCCACTGAACAGATCTTTGCCAAACTCCCTCTTCCTGCTATAGATGCTGCCAGCTGGGTGACCTTGGGCCAGTCACAGTTCTTTCAGAGCTCTCTCAGCTCCTAAAAACAAGTCTAGCTCGCCACTAGCATAACATGAAGAGATAGAACTTGTGGCTGTCAGACAATCTTAGGATCTCCCGGCTATTCTACACATGATGCCATATGATAATTAATTCACAAGATGCTGCTCGTTGGGGGAGAGGGACAGGCTTGCAGAGGAACAGCGGAGTGAGACAACCAGTCCTGGCATGAGCAGAAGTGCCTATCCATTCCCAAAAGAAGCCTCTGGACCTGAGCCTAATGAAACATTTAAAACTTGTGAAAGAAGAAGCCATACCTCAATTTGCTGGCAGACTTTCCTTTCCAAATCGGACATGTTTTCACTGTCTCCGTTTTCGGCCATTTTCACCACCTACAATCAGAACAGCATTTACTTTTGTTGGGAGATTCGAGTTGTTCAAGCCATTTGTTCTAGCCGATACAGGTATCTCTGCTGAACTAGGGAACATTTTTAGAAGCGTGATCACCGTCATATGTCAAGTACCATTTCAATACCCTATTCACGAATCCTCTCTTTTTTTTTCTTTTTTTTCAAAATATTTATTTATTGCAGTTTTCTTTATGCATTACATCATGCATTCATAGTAATTCAAACCTTTTCAACTATCAGAGTCAACTAAGTCTGGGTTACACGACATTTTCTTTTATCCATTTATAAAACATTTCCCCACCACCTACAATCAGAACAGCATTTACTGTTGTTGGAGATTTGAGTTGTTCAAGCCATTTGTTCTAGCCAATACAGGTATCTCTGCTGAACTAGGGAACGTTTTTAGCAGCGTGATCACCGTCATATGTCAAGTATCATTTCCATACCCTATTCACGAATCGTCTCTTAAAGACAGGGCCAAGAGAATACCAAAAGAAAGGTGACCCTAAATGTAAGATTATCCCGCTAAAAGCAAAATGTTGTACCAAAAAAAAATCCCCACTGGACATAACTGTAACTTGTATGAAACTATATAAGACAACTTCGCCCCCCTTTATGGCACCTCTAGGGGGAACCCGGGGTTTTTTCCAGTTTTTTTTTTGGGGGGGGAATGGAAATATTTGGAAAAATTGAACAAAAATGCTACATTAGCATTTCTGAACAATTTACAAACAGAATACCCACCCACATGCAAAAACAAAACTGAAACCTTTTTATTTTCTTCTGACAATAACCCCTCCTAAAGGAAGAAATAAATCTTGTTCTTGCATTGGAGAGTTCAGTTTGTAACCTAGAACTTGCTTGTCCTCAGTGCACAGAAATTAGATCAATGATTTGGAAATGATTTGGAAAATATTTGAACACCTTGTCTTAAAATATTTTATTCATCATGTTAAAATAAAACGTTCCATAATCAAAAAAAATTCTTTTCTTTTCTTTTTTCAATTTTTTGGTTTCTTTGTTCAATTTTTCCAATTTTTCGGGGGAAAAAGGCTTCAGGAACAAAACGGGGGAAAAATGGTTTCTTCCCAAATTTTTCCTGTTTTTTTCCAGGCCTTCACATCTCTAGTGCTGAGTTCAATGGAACCTTGTTTTGTATCAAATTTTGATATACATATTCCCTGCCTAACCTACTTCCCAGGGTTATGAGGGTAACATGGAGAGAAAGATGATGTAAGCCACTCTGGGTCCCCACCAGGAAGAAAAGCAGGGTATAAATGAAGTAAATAAACAGATAAAAGAAAGTCCTCCCTGCAAGCCTTTGCTGCTCTATCCAAACCAAAGGAACCACACTGGTCAGCACTCACTATAATTTTCTCAAAGGGTTATACTACACCTCCCTGTAGGTGATGTAGTATGAATGGGAATATAAAGATTTTTTATATAAGTTTTTTTTTCTTCTTGATTGTTCATATTCATATTTCTCTGGGTGACCCTAAAGGTAAGATTATCCCGCTAAAAGCAAAATGTTGTACCCAAAAAAAAAAAAGCCCACTGGACATAACTGTAACTTGTACAAAACTATATAAGACAACTCCGCCCCCCTTTATGGCACCTCTGGGGGGGAAACCCCCAGTCTTGCATTAAAGTAAATACTGCAAGTGTCCATTTTCCACTCTGGTCGCACACCTGGAAGCCAATGCAACAGATCCTCAAGATTCTTACAAACTGGCATGGACATTTAGTGCATGGTTCCTATATGCACTCATGAACATGTCACTAATAAAGCTGCTCTTGCTACAGGTTTGCTCACCATTCGCAATCCACTTTACTTCAGCATGGTGGTGGAAAGTCCCATCGAGCTGACTTATGGTGACTCTGTAGGGTTTACAAGGCAAGAGGCAACTACAGGTGGTTTGCCACTGCCTGCTTCTGCACAGTGACCCTGGGCTTCCTGGGCAGCCTCCCACCCAAACACTAACCAGGACCAACCCTGCTTAGCTTCCGAGATCTGATGAGATCGGGCTAGCCTGGGCCATCCAGGTCTAGGACTCTACCATGCCACTTGATGCCAAGAGCTTGTCAGTAATTCCATTTTGTCAATACAACTCATTACTCAAAAGGTAACCCCACCAGAGTCTATTATGGCAAATGCAGGGATTTTGGTACAGCACAACCTTGACTAATCTGGTTTACCCAAAAGTAAACTCAGTGCTGAGTAGAGATGTAAAATTTCCGGAAATTTTGAAGCTTGGAAAAAACGGATTTTTTTGGAAAAATTGGAAAAAAAATGCTACATTAGCATTTCTTTTGTCTTTTCTAGATTGAAAGTCATTCTGTTACTTTAGGAACATAAAATATGACTATGGACATTTTTACTTGGCATGAAATTATCACAACTAGCATATTAAAAATATAGTGTATCCAAACAATTATTACAAACAGAATACCCATCCACATGCAAAAACAAAACTGAAACCTTTTTATCCACTTGAGCCACCGCAGCTCCACAGGGTTGCTAAGAATCCTGGAAAAATATTCTGTCCTTTTACTGAAAGATTAATAGTTTGTTCTTTATCAGGTGAACAGGGTTGCCAGCTCCGGCTTGGGAAATTCCTGAAGATTTGGGAGGGGCAGAGCCTGAGGAAGGCAGAACTTGGGAAGGGGAGGGAACTCTTTGGGGATACAATTCCATACGGTACACCTGTTGAAGTTGCTATTTCCTCCAGGGGAACTGACCTCAGTTGTAGTTCTGGGAGATCTCCTGGCTCCACCTGGAGGATGGCATCCCTACAGGCAAATCTATTTACCTTCATGCCATGAAAACTTTCAGATGCCCATTTCTATAGATTACACATGTGATAAAGGGGCAGGGCATCTTTCTCCAGGCTTCTTGGCAACCCAACTTCTGTGAAACTCAACAAAGAAAGCAGAGCCTTCCCCAGAGATCATGGCAAAACTGAAGTGGGCCAGAAAAAAGCTTTTAGGCGTCAGGGAAATAAAGGAATTCTAGTAAATTGGAGCCAGGAGGAACCATTTTCTAAAGGGCAGTATATACAGTCTTTGATTGAAAGCAGGCTTGGGCCTTGTGAGAGTTGTCCCATTTCAGATTCATGAGGGAACTGATAGGATCAAATGGGCCTCCATAATAAAAACACAGCAAACTGGCACATCAGAGAAAAACGTAAGCTAGAACTATTTCCCTCAACATCTAGTTTTCTTTACAATTTTACTAAAGAAGGTAGGGAGGCAGACATATTGCAGTGTTTTTAGACAGCAGCATCTAAGCCATATTCCTTCAAGCTTTAGGCAGCTTTACAATGAGGCAGTACAGTTTGTGCTTCCAGTTGAACATTCAAATTTCAGAGGCCACGAGGGTGTAATAACTTTCAAGTCCTTTAAGCAGCTCTGTAGTCTCTCAGAGAAAGAGTTTAGTACACATCATATGGTTTTGTACAGAGAAAGGTTTTGCAAGCAGCTGTGAAGAGTAGAAACTGAAGCAGTACACGTTTAACTATCAGAGGAAGGGTACAAGATTGGCAGAACCTTCCCACTTTAATAGGTACTTAAATGCATGGAGCCCAGATCCAATCCCTAGCCAAAGCAGAACAACTTCCTTAATATACTTCTTATGAGATGTATTTGGCCATCAGTGTACTGGTTTGATTTCAAGGAGTTTATTGTTCTGACATTCCCACAGTACCTTGAACACATGAAACTACCATATAAGAGGTCTGAACACTGGTCAATATTGTCTACTCTGAATGACTGCAGCTCTCCAGGGTCTCAGGCAGAAGTCTTTCACATCACCTACTACCTGATCCTTTTAACTGAAAATACCAGGGACTGAACCTGGGACTTTTACATGCCAAGCAAGTACTCTACCACACAGTCATTTCAATGTGGACCTGAAGGTAAGGCTAAAATCAACAGATGGGATCCTTGCGTGTCAGATGCAAGGTGAGGCTTGCCATGGTGACAGAATGGCCAGCCAGTTCACTGCCTCCAATTTGTATTGCACTGCATTCAGTCATGTTCACACATACTTGATGTCACAGGTGCTACTGCCCAAACACAAGTTGACCAGTTTGCTCAGAACGAGGCCTTAGATTCCAGCATCTTCTGAAGGAATCATTTATGAACAACATCATAGTATTTTTTAAGTCACTAGATTTTCTTCACGAAGCTCCTCAGTCCAAAACCAGACATTGGTAAGACGGGCTTGCAGATGGAACAGAATGAAGTAGACACACCGTGCCCCGTCAAACTGTAGGCGAAAATCACATTTTTAAAAAAATCATTTCCCTAAACAAAAAAGATGACCCTCCAAATAGAAAGTTAGCTCTCCAAAGAAAGAGATGGGCTTCCCCAACATGCTAGTTTTCAGAATGCCAGGCACTCCTTATTTCTAATACGGACATGCATTTTTAAAAAGTTTTCCTCCACTGCAGCCAGAAATCACAATATCTACTCTTATCAGCCAAGACTTCCAGTTGCTTACAAACTTCTGTGAAATCCAACGGCAGAAGTAGAAGACCTGCGCTGCTGGAAGCAGAGTTGCCAGCTCTGTGTTGGGAAATACCTGGAGGTTTGGGGGAGGTGAAGCCTGAGGAGAGCAGGGTTTGGGGAGGGACCTCAACGAGGTATAATGCCACAGAGTCTACCTTCCAAAGCAGCCGTTTTCTCCAGGTGAACTGATCTCTGTTGCTTGGAGATCAGGGGTAATCCCAGGAGATCTCCAGCCACCACCTGGAGGCTGGCAATGCTATGCTGTAGCATGCCTACAGTATCCAGAGTAAATAATCCCGTGCTACAGCAACACAAAGCAGGAGCCATCCAGAGAAATCCTAGATGCTCACCAGCCTAACGTCCCTTTCCTTCCCCAAGGCTGAGAGAAAACCAGCATCTACCTAAGAGAACGAGAAGGAAACGGGACCTGGATTTAATTTCCTCCGCTTCTCCCTTGGCAGAATCTACGCTCATTTTCGGAGCTATCTGCTAGCTCACAGATTTCTCCAAAATCTGCACTCCCCCTCTTCCTCTCACCCATTTCCTCCAGCAGGAAAACAAGGGCTGGCTAAGACATCTAGCCTGGACAGTTCTGCATCACGTTTTCCCTCCACTCCACCCCGGATATGCTACGTTCCCCCCAAACACGTGGGCGCACTGGGAGAAGAAGAGGAGGTTATGCTTCCCCCTGCAGTTTCAAGACTATCGCCCATCTCAGGCCTCCTTTAACCAACTTCAGCAGCGTTTTGCCTATCTGCTCAACTCCAAGCCTAGAAGGCCCCTTTCAGCCAAACAACGAGCCTCCCCCCCAGGAACTGTTTAATTCTTTTTTTGCCCTACTGCGTACGCAGGCCCGTTTGCGCCACTGTGCCGCCCGAGCCCAGCCCCAGGCGGCGCCAGCCCTCCGTGCTGTAGGGCAACATGCGTGCAACCCACTGGAGCCCGAGGGAGACACGCCTGCCTCTTCGGAGCAAGCCCCACCACCTCCATTTTCCCCAAGAAACCTACACGTGGGGCAGGTAGCGGTGTCCCATGCAAGGGGAAGGGTCTTTAAAAGACGCGAGAGGAGCACCGCATTCCCAGGACCTGCATCCCGCGTGTTAAAAAAAACCCGCACGCACCAATCCACCTTCCGCGCGTTCTTAAGACATATATCCCCACCTACACTCACCGGCAGGCCGCTGCGGTTCTTTAGACGCCGATCTCCGCTTACTGAGCAGCCCAGCAGCCTGTGCGGCAATAGCCGCGCCTCCTTCCCGGTCCGGCCCGGCCCACGTGGGGCTGAGCTTTGTCGCCGCCTCCGGTTCCTTCTCAGCCTGTCGTCTTGGAGGGGAGGCTTCTTTTCCTTCCCGCTCGGCATCAAGTCTTTTCGACAAGGGGAGGGGAGAATCTTTTCGCTGCCCCACTCTTGAATTTGAGAAGTCCAAAAAGCAGCAGGAACCACCCATCGTGGGTAAATTGCGTTCCATAATATGGGTGGTGGTTCTCTCTCTTTTTAAAAAAAATCTGCAGTATTGATGCATATAGAACGCGGTTGCATTTGTTAGGAAATGGGGGGGGGGGGGGGGGAGAAAAAAAAAACCCCGGAACCTGTTTTCAATACCAATGCTCCCTCTAAGCTGTGGAGTCTTGTGAGCAAAAATTCTACTTTGTGAGCTACTGGCATTAAAGTGAATGTGATTTCTGAAGCTTTTCTTGACAGGCAAAATTACAGCTGTCACTGTGCCCTATTAGGAGTTTAATTAAACTGAACTTAGATTTTAATGGTTAGCCCAGAACATAGAGCTGTAGAGTGGAAAGAGTATTATTTTAATAGTTAAAGGTCTTTTTCTTAGGGTCAGAAAATAATAGAATGGAATGTACATTTGAAATTACAAACTTTCCGGCTGAAGGACATCGGAGAAGCTGAGTTATGAGAGAGAGAGAGATTCTTAGCTTTTCAAAACAAACATCTTTCTGTGTAGTGTAGAACCTCTGGCCCCAGAAGGTCTGCAAAAGGGCTAAGTTTTGTAGGTCTTATCAAGAAACTCCCTTGTGTCAGGCTGAAGCAAATAAGCCAGGAATGATGCCAAAGGAGGTCTCTCTGTTCGAGGTTTTCCACTGTTCCGGGACCAGATAAGCAGACGCAATCACTGACACTTAAGATCCGATAGGAGTTTGCCAATAGAGATGTGCCAGCTCAAATGATGTCCTGGTGATATTTGTGGGACACCAATTAGGGATTTCTTTTTGTATAAACTGTCATGTCATTTGGGGTATAAGTCTTACTGCCCTTCCTGGTTGGGGCAGAATACAGTTTGGTGTTACTGGGTGCCAAGGTATCCAGTCCTGTATTTTCCTGAGTATTGCAATAAACAGTTATTCATCTAATTCTCTGGACTCCACCTGTATGTTCCTCATTTGGCCCTGGGGGCACACATTTGTGCATCACCTTTAAGACCAACAAAATCTTTAAAAAAAAATTAATAAAAAATCCAGATGAAGTTATATATACATATAACCATTCATCACAATCCCTGTTACAGAACTTGAAAAATTATAGTTAACTGTGGCACAAATTTGTCATCCATGTTCTCCAAACAAACTTCACATTCATTCTAGGACCATAAATTTGCTTCTCATTATGGCATGGTGCGTTCGTTCAGAATTTCTCGGGGAAAAGATCTGGGAGGACTCTCCAAATCTGTTTGCTCGGAACTTGCATTATAAATGCTAGCGGGTAGAATTTGGAGGTCTCCTTAGTCACCCAAAGAGAATGAGGCAAGTGGGCTCCTTTTTTCTGCATCAATGGGAGTTCTCTTCCTCTTCTAACCCCAACAGAGCTCCATCCCACCTTTCTCCTTTTCCCACCTTGGACCCAGTATGCAACAGGTTCCCGGCAGCAGCACAGGGTAGGGAGATAGCAACAGACCACATCCATTGCCCTATTCCAGTTTAGCATCCTAACCAGCAAGTTGGGCAACACACCTCTGCCCCTCTTTCCCCCCCTTCTTTCCCCCACCTCTCCCCTCCCCCTTTCTTCTTTTCCCACAACCCTTCCATATACAAGTAAGTTCCTGCCATCCTATACCCTCATCCTTGTCCTGGTCCATCATTCCTCCTTATGCTATATCTCACACTGTCCTGCCAAATCTAACAGTTCTTAAAAGAAGCCTCCTGATTTTTTTACCCTTTTGCCAGACTATTAATGTGGCCCTGACATGAGAAGCCTTGAATTTGGCCTGCCCTCTTGGACAAAGTGGATTACAGGCTGGCCCTCATTGTGGATTCTTCACACAAGAGGTTTTCTTGCAGTTTTTTATTGAGCTTCCTCACAACATTGTCATCTGTTGGTTGTCTTCTTTGTGGTTTCCTCATCATTCCTCTATGCTCTTTCTAAATCAGATCACTAATGGTTTCAGAAAGCATGGAGAGATGATGAAAAAACTACAGAAAGACGACAAGTGGACAATGGTGTTGTGAGGAAGCCTGGGGAAACGTCGCTGCCATTCAGTACTGAAGCTGCAAGGAAAACATCCACGTGAAAGATCTCTCAGAAACTAAGGCTTTTGGTGTGACTACAGTGACAGAGCAAAAGGCTGTTGTAGACAAGGAACATCTGACCAAAAGTAGCTTAAAACATTTGAGAAGTGCGGTGTCACTCGTTAGGATGTGGGGGTGCAGGCGATGCAAAGACGACACAAGACAAACAGCTTCTGCAGAAAGCTGACTGAAGGAAGGAACGAACGAACCTCCTCCTCTCACGCACCAGCTGTATTTATTCAAAACTCCATCTCCTCCTTTCCCCCCTCCCTTTCATACATTATATCATCCTAGGCATGAGACATGAACTAAGGAATGTGTGTGTTTGTAGGCAAGTTCTCTGTTATCTTTGCCACTCCCCCTCTCTCAAGGTTACACTGACTGCTTAGTGAGCAGTAAACAGATTCCATCTCGGCCTCTCATGACATATAAGTATTTCAGTTCCCAATTTCCAGCCAGGGGAATAGTGATTTATTCTGCACTGCTTTCCTACAGAGAAGTATCTCTTAATACTGAGGGAAGATTTTTGCTCAGAGATGTTTCCAAATGGAACTGAACAACAGATGACTGTCTGGGTGACCACAGCTGTGTCTAACCCCACAAGCTGTTGTGGAATGATGGGGAAGCAGTGATTTCTAGATGTGATTCTTCCAGTGCTTTTGGGAGGATCAAGGGATTCAGTTGAGGGAGCTCAGAAATTGGAAAAGGGGAACAAGATGCCATAGCTACAAAATACACATCTTGTTATAATAAAAAGCTTAAAGACTGCTGCCTAATTTTCCTACATGTTGAAACTAAAAAACCCCCGAACTTCTGTACCCGTACTGCTCTCCTGGGGAAAGTTCTGCCTATTCTATCAGATCCCCAGCTTCCTCACACAGCCTACATAACAGTTCCTGTTATCTCAGTGGGGCTAAGAACAACAATTCTGAAGCTAGCTGCTGGAAAGCATTCGTGGGCTGTGTGAGAACAGCTAATTACCACTAGAAACTATTTCAAAAAAAAAAGGCTAATGTGAGCCCAGAATGCCCACCCATGGAGGAGAGTACCTACTACAGCTCAACATAAGTCATGAATCTCCAGGCCTCCTTCCTTCCAGTTGGGCGGCTGCCCAGAACAGTGACTCACAAACACAGGGGGGCTGAGCTCCTCAGTTAGCGGATGATTCTTTCACATTATAAAAAGCAAATGTTACAATAGAAGTGATGTGTACCTCAACAACAAAAAATGCTTCAGCTTTTAGAAGTTTAGGAAACACTGCCTTAGAGACATACATTTATGCCATTGGGGTTGCAAATGTATGTACCCACGATGGATCACACCCATAGAAATCAGTGGGACACCTACATCACAGAGTGTCTGTTGTGGGGGGGGGGAAGGGAAAGGAGTTTGTAAGCCACTCTGAGACTCCTTCCAATCTCCTTCCTATACATGCATAAAATCGGGTATAACATATTTATGTTGTCATTACGTGCAACAATAAAATTAAATGCACCTCATAACCACTGCTCTTCAGCTGGGGTTTAACACTGCCTTGTTTTGATCAGCTAGTCATGAGTGATCATTGCAGAAATAGTTGTACCCCCGGGGGAGGCTAGGGTCCTTCAGTGTAACTTTATTATTTCCGTTTGATCCTAAACTGCATTTACTTGGAAATGAATTCTGTTATTTTCTGTGTACAAGATACCATTGTTTAAGCCAAACTATACTTGAAAAGAAGTTACATGGAGCAGATTACTTCTTTAAGGTTTAGAAATCACTACTTTTGGCTGGTGGAAACATCAAAAGTGACACAAACATCGCCCAGCACGTAGCAGGTTTATTTTAAAATAAAGTTAAACAACAACTAAACCCAACCACAGCAATATAAAAATGTGAAAACTGTACATACATTCTAATTCATTTCCTCTGTTACAGGTAAGACATATTAAAAATGTGGTTTTAAGACAGAACTCAAAAGCAGCCATGACAGGAACAGTGGCTGTAAATATTTACACAAATGTGTCATGACACTGCACCAGCAATGTTGATACCCCATACTGAGTATCTTCATGCTGATGCAGCATGTTTGACAATGAGAAATACTCTAGATATCACCATTCCGTTAATCTTTTGTACCTGGAAACATTTAACTACCGTGGTAATATTTGTTCAATTCATACTAACAAATGTTTGGTTACACCCTCTGTGTGGTGAGCAACTGGTTCATGAAAATCATTGCCCAGATACCAAAGCGTTTACATTTCTGCAGATTAAATAAAAGACCCTGAAAACTACAGAATCCCACCCCCACAATATGTTGCACTTTGTCTTTCCATGCATTTTGCAAAACTACCGTGGTAATATTTGTTCAATTCATACTAACAAATGTTTGGTTACACCCTCTGTGTGGTGAGCAACTGGTTCATGAAAATCATTGCCCAGATACCAAAGCGTTTACATTTCTGCAGATTAAATAAAAGACCCTGAAAACTACAGAATCCCACCCCCACAATATGTTGCACTTTGTCTTTCCATGCATTTTGCATGGAACTGAAAGTAAATCCCATTGGTTTCGATGTCTTACTTCCACACACGGTACTGCACTTACAGTGGAATCCTATACA